ATATCCGTATTATGCTGGTTATTAATTTGTTTCTCTTTACAACTAAAGCATGATTAGCATTTTAATGTGTTTTGTTATACGTACAGAAACTATGTATAGTACCTTTATATAACTATTAAAGGGGCCCTATCCTGCTCATCTTCAGGTGCATATCAGTATGTAGTGTCTCTGCTGTGACATGTCTCCATGCTTTAATGTTCAAAAAGCTCTTTATTTTTCTCATACTGCCTGTGCTTCAGAACCTCTTTTCACCCTCTGTCTGAAACCAGAGCCCAGTCTTAGAGATGTCCCACCCCTTACCCCTAATTTCCACCGGGTCCGTCTGCGTCGCGTTACGGCCGCGTTACGGCTGCGCCGCGGCGTTCGCAAAGATCGCGGCCACTCTAGTCAATGGGTGCTATTCCACCACACGCGGCGCGTTACGGCTCAGAAGCGTCCCAGAAGCGTCTCGGCGCAGGGCTCCTCTAAAATTAGGATGAATCCTATTTTTGGCGCGGCGCAGCCGTAAGGTAATGTCAGGCAGGCAGGAAGTGGAACGTTCAGAGCATATATAGCATATATATATATTAGGGCTGTCAAGTTAACGCGTTAATAACGCGTTAACGCAAAAAAAAATTAACGCCACTAATTATTTTAACGCGATTAACGCATATGTATTTTTTGTCCTCGGCCGCCGTAGTTTCAGAGCGCATCGAGTGTAAAATACCATCGACAAGCTGATGCTGACAGCCCCGCTCCTGCCGCCCGCTTGTGGCAGACCACACTTCCACGCTCACTGGCAGGCCCGGACTGGCCATCGGGAGGACCGGGAGGGAGTGTGTATGTGTGGCGCGACTCGCGCGAGCGAGGCACACCTACGTGTTGTTGTTAGCATCTGGTGCTAGCTAGCTGCGCTAACGGATATAAGGAGCTGTTTCAATGACATTTCGCCGACAACTGCGCCGAGCACTTGACTTTATGCAGGTCGCCAGACAGTGGGACATTGTACGAAAAGTCAGCGCAACATTATTGCAGCGTCCAGGCAGCTCCCATTCGAGCATATATGCCTTGAGCTGCACATAGCTCAACGATCCATCACAGTGTCTCCACACACACACACACACACACACACACACACACACACACACACACACACACACACACACACACACACACACACAGTATTGTATGAGAGAGGTTCCAGGTTGAATTGAGGCGAATATTTGTAATGTTCAGAGGTTGTTGTGTTTAATATTCATGAGAATATTTGTCATTGTTCAAATGATAATAAACAAACATATAAAGCATATTTGTCCACTCATATGTTGATAAGAGTATTAAAAACTTGAAAGATATCCCTCTAAGGTACATTTAGAACAGATAAAAAATGTGCGATTAATTTGCGATTAATCGCGATTAACTATGGACTATCATGCGATTAATCGCGATTAAATATTTTAATCGACTGACAGCCCTAATATATATATATATATACACACACACAAACTCATTTTGCAGACCCTATTCCTCCGTAGTCTTTCAAGTAGGAGAAATGCCAGTGTTCTCCTCCGGTTTACAGGCACTGTGTAAATTATATATATAGAATAATTATGATGATGAATGCATTTTTTTACCACTAAAATACAGCAACACATCTTTGATTCATGTCGTTTATAACTGGGATATTACAGTTATTATTAACTTTGTCTGTACAAAGTAGCCTGTCCAGGAAATATGCCCAAATCAACAAAAACTGTGAGCCTGCATGCACGACGCTCCGCTTCTGAAACGCTACTGGAACGCGCCCCGTGGGTTATGATGCTCGAGGAGGTCGGACCAAAACCGCGGCACAGCCGTAACGCGACGCAGACGTAATGCGACGCAGACGGACCCGGTGGAAACTAGGGGTTAGCCTACCATGTGCAATGTGTTGGAGCGCTAGCCAATAGAAGTGTGAGTGTTACATAGTGATGTCATTATGGAATTATGGAAGTCAACAAAGGAGTCCAATGGAAGCGTTTCAGGCAGGGTGTGTGTGGGAGAGAAACTCCCTCTGGAGTGAACACAGGGATTTAAAACTTTGCACACCATTTACATGAATTCAAACCTATAACACACTACAGAAAAGGGAAAACCCCAAAAAGCATAATAAGGGCCTCATTAACAGGTTAACAGGTCCCAGTCTGTAGTGTTCAGTCCTTTATATATAGAAATAAAAAAAGCTATAACAAAAAACAAAGATTCCGAGGCATGTCCCTGAACAAGTTCTATTGCATTCTCCATGCCCTCTGCATACAGACTGCCTCTGAAATCTACCATTCATTCATTCATCCGTAGTTACATATGTAAGTATTGTTTTATGTGGTCATTTGAAAATATGTTGACAATAGTTGGATCACATTTCAGAACATGTAATATGTGTGTTGTTGATGTGCCACCACTGTACCCAGCTCAAATTATAAACTGAGACACATGGCTGAACAGCATGACTGAGCGTTGAGTAATCTGGGTCTTTGATTTATTGTTTACATTTGTGATAAACATTTTTTGGGCGAAAACTTGATTATATGAAATGTGTCTTTCGGGTGACTAGATGAAAAATAGCCTCTTGGCTAACCCTGGCACATCTACAGAAATGTTGATTAATGTGCACTGTCCCTGTTAAAATAAATGAATAAATAAAAATATAGGCTCTTCAAATACAACTTGTGAGATGTACATTCTGTTGTCGGTCCAAGTAAGGTAAGGACCAAGAAAGTGAACAGTATCCAGCAGCGACGTGCAGTCAGGGGAGGCAGGGGAGGCAGAGCCTCACCTGTCATACTCCAATGTAACAGAAAAACAATTAAAGAAAAACTAAATAATAATAATAATAAAATGTCTCCACTGATCTTGTGTAAGTGTGATTTCTGTATGATTCCAATCGCATTTTATAGTCAAAATCAGCAAATTTGCCGAGCTCCGCTACGGGAGCGATGACAAGTGAGGCAGGGACGAGCTCTGCCTCACGTAAGCCTACAGTAACTTGCTGGAGCGCGGGCACTAATTTAGCGCGGGCACTTATTTTGTGAGCGCGCTCCAGCCAGTTACCGTGGGGTGAGGTGAGGCACAGATGAGCTCTGCCTCACCTCAGAATGCGTCACCCCACAGAAACTGGCTGGAAAGCGGGCCCTAAGCGCATGCCTGTTCCCATCTCACTGTAGGTCACCAATGTAATATTTGTAGATCCCTTTATTACATTTATCCTCGCCATCCATAGTCTCTAAATAACTTATTTCACGTATATATGATATTTAGGCTCGCTGGTCTCATCGTACAACGGCAATGAAAAAAGCACCAAGAGAGGCAGCCATAACCTCTGCCGCACTGAAGGGGCGCACGTGAGCCCACAGGTTCTTGTTGCTACTGTTATTCTACACAGAGACGGTAGACGCAAACAACAAACTAGACTTTTGAAACTACAGGAAGATAAGGAGGACTTTTACAAAACAGTAATAGAGATTGTTGTCCAGAAGGATAGCATGGACTTCATCTTCAAGTCAAGGTAAGACCACAATTGTAATGAAAATGGGATCTTACTTAGAAAGAACAATCCAATATTTAGATTTTGGGTATCCTTTTGTTGAACGGTCTGTTTAAAATTAATCATAGCATCAGACTAAAAAAGCTTTTGAAAATAACAGAATATTTCGATTAAGGTCAAAATAGGCTATAATATTTGTAAATCTGACTCTGAAAGAGTCAGTGCCTCACCAGCCATGAACCTCACCGCACGTCACTGGTATCCAGTAAGGTATTCAGCAAAGCAGAGCCATACTGTTTGATATAGTGTCATTTGACTTGATCAACATTCAACATTTTGTATTTCAATTTTTTTCAGTTTCTAATTGTGTTTCTTGCATGGCATTGTTTATTAGTCTATGTCTCTGCACAGATCACGTTTGAATTCACGTTGTTGTGTTGCTTTCATAATGTTCGGAGGTTGAGTGAAAGCCGAGAGACACAGATGAGGCTGAGAGTTTGTGTGCAGCAGACAGGAAGGCAGGGAGCGCCGGGCTGTCTGAACACGCGCGGGATGTTTAGCTGCGCTCTTTAAACAAGACCACACATGTAGTTGTTTTGCTGCTCTGTATATGTAGAACAGTTCTCTGGGCCTACAACCATACTCAATGATATCTTTTAAAACACACAGATGGTTGCCAATCATCCTTATGATGGCTTTACATGATATGGAAACTGTAATATGGAGTAGAGTGAAAAGATATACCACATTGTCTGCTGTGTGGACTCTTGAGATATTCTGATCGGTAGATAATGTGCAATGTGTCCTTCACCTAACTTTTATGTATCTTTTCGCTGGAGGGGTTGGTACACTGATCTGCAAATCAGGGGGTCAGCGTTTCAATCCCTCCTCCTCACGACATGTTGAAGGGTCCCTGGGCTAGATATCTAACCCCATTTGCTCCCGTAGGCATGTCTACGGCATTGACTTTGTGTAAGTCCCTTTAGATATAAGTGTCAGTTAAATAAAATAAAATGTAATGTAATGAATCATGTTGGTCCAGGTCATTAGCAGTCCAGCAAGTTGGAGTTAAATGATTCAACCAATGAAAAGGGAGTCTTCACAACCTGGCAACCCAAAAGTTGTTGTATGATTGGCTTTAACTGATCCATAAAGCATCACCAACTGACCATCAAATAAAAGTAGTTAGTTTACATTTTCGAACAAAGGATATCCTATTTTAATGATCTAAATGTGTACTACCCAAACCAAAATGACACTTTATCTATGCAATTAATGGTCTTACTCGATACAGTCATGGGTTAGAAAATGCTCACAGTAATGATTGCATGAATGTTGCATATTCTACAGGTCCTTTTCTATTGTGTTAAGTTGAATTCCTGCTACTGTGTATTCTAAAGTGACGATCCAACCTTTTGTCACTCAGATCAACATACATTACAATGTATTCAGAGATGCAGAGAGTGGCTGCAGGAGCACTCATCTGTTGGTCACTCACCATGCTGTCGTAGTGTATCAGCTCCAGCTCGTAGTCGGGCAGTATGTCGGTCCTGCTGTTCACCAGGTCCAGAGCCATCTGAGCGGCGGGGAGGCAGGCTTGTCCCCCCGGCCAGCCTCCGCTCATGGGGAACAGGGCTCCGATGTAGAGCTTCTTCTTGCCTAGAACCGGGCAGGAGCAGGAGAGGAGGACAGTGAGGGTGAGGGTCAGAGAGAAGCGGGGAAGGGTCCTTCGGAGGAGCCCAGCCATAGCTCTGTTTATTTCTCCAGTACCGTACTTTAATACTGTGGTGGAAGTGTGCGTGGGTCAGGAGGAATCTATTCCCATGAGCGACTAGATCCTCACAGATGGAAGCACATTCAGAAAAATGAATTACATGAAGGGCATCAGCGGAATTGTACTGTTTCTTAAGAGCTGACAAACAAATGCATCAAACTGCTGTGAACTCTTCTCCAACTAAAGAAGCCTTAGGGAAATGATTTGTATTTCTCTACCATGCAAATCCAAAATGATCCTCATGCAACTGAGTGTGAACGGAGACACAGGAGGCTGGAGTTGCTGTTTGCAAACCAAACTTAAATATCAAACGGAAAGTCCAGATCAAACCGGGCTTTATCTCCTTCTGCTAAAACTGCTAAACAGGTATGGGCTCCTAGGTGTTGAGCACAGATAAAAGATGGTCCCTCTTCCTCCTCATGAACAAATCTGCACCGAGCTTTGTTCTGTCCGGATCGTCTCGTCATGTATCTGCGCGTCCTCAGTAATCCGCCTACATACTCACAGCACTCCTGTCCAAATGCTCATTACAGCACATGCTCTATAGGAACAGCGCACAACAGAGACACATTTCCAATAATCCAATGCAGTGTGATGGGAGCGCGCTCAATCTCACAGCAAGGTCATTCTGGGATGGACAAGCCGCCACAGCGCTGGAACGCAGCGAGCCTCTCAGGAGGAGAAGAGAGAATGTGACGGGAGCTGTGCTCAGCTTCAGCTCTGTGCTTCAGAGAGGGGCTGACTGCAGCACGGTGTGGGGGGGGGGGGGGGGGGGGGGGGAGGAGGAGGAGGAGGAGGAGGAGGGGGAGGGACCTTCAGTCTCTCCGTTTCACAAACCACTTTGAATTTGCAATCCTTTAACACAGCCCTGCTCCTCATTTAGCTTTCCTCCGCCCAACATACCCCCCCCCCCTCTGTCTCTCCATGCTCCCTCACACCGCCAGGCTACATGGATAATGGTTAATGACGTGTCAAAGAAACTTCCCCTAGTGGACTTCAGGATTCAGCTGGTCCACATGCACCTCATTTGTAGTTATTGCATCAATCTGTTCACATTTAATAACAACACATTTACAACTCTTCTGCTGACACAGCAATTGGATTGGCTGTGCCCGTGCTGAGAGCCTCATTAGGGTCATCATGGGAGGCTATCATTGTCCGCTGAAACTCATGCATTCATTTCAATTCAATTGAACAGGGACCTTGGCCGGATTACCATACTATGGGGCCCGAAGCAAAAATGAGCCATAGGCCCTGATAGATATTTGTTCACGGCAGACATTTGATCTTGTTATAGCAGGAAAGCAAAAGGTGTGATCTATAACATTACAAACCACTGCGTTCCATCAGTGAGCTAGTTCCAGGGTGCTGGTGTAATGGGTGCTGGCTCCCTGGCACGGCTTACCTTTTGATGGAGCTGAGTCATCAGTAACAACATGTGTTTCACTTCTGCTTCTCCTGCTCTGACAGATCTAAATGTCTGCTGTGAAGGTCACCAATGTGGTTCCTCTTGCTCTCTATCTACAGTTAGCCAGTTGCCTTATAAGTGAAACTGTTCATTTTGAACGGTAACATAACCCATTGTACCTCAGACAAATAAACATTATAAGAAACAAAAGCACTGCTCTTCGGGTTTTTCAGTCTAACTTATTCTCGTAAAACCAAATCGCAATTTCGAGGCTTTTGACCACACCTTATTAAACTTAAGATGAATACTATTGTCAAGCTGACATTGTTGAGGCAGGTTAGAGACCCTTGGACTGTGCTCTACTCTTGCTAATATGACACTATGATTAGCTATTGTGGCCACAGTGGCTGTTGTTCAGCAAAATGACGTAGCCTGGCTTTCCCGATTCATTATAAGATCAACGTTTTACCTTGTTGTGATATCTCGTGTTCACTTATAACATTTTATTTTAATTGTATTATCCTTGAGTGAACTCTAATCTGTACTGTCCTGTATTTCACTCTTACTCTGTTGCTGTGTTAACTCCTGAATTTCCTTACAGGGATCCATAAAGGTCCATCTAATCTAATCTTCTGGGGCCCCCACATATCGGGTTTGTATATCCCTACTATAGATCCACATCCATAGCAAGACAGAGTCAGGGAAAGAATGCAATAACCGCATAAAACTGTTATATTCTAGTTTAGTGGTGCATGTAATAAATCACTATTAACAACTTTTATTAAAACAAGCTAATTGCCAAGCAGCAAGCGTGGAGTCTTGTTGGCCCATGATGGTCTTGAAAAGTTGCATGCAAAGTACATTTAATAAGATACTTGTGTCTTTGTTTGTGTATACCTTGAAATAATCGTTTTAACTCTACAAGGCTAACAGTGTTTTAAATGATCTTGGTGATGCTCGAATGAACACAAACACAGGCTCCAAGACAGACCTTTCAATGCACAGTGATGTTACTTTGGGTCATGGGGTGTGGACCCCAGGTGACCCAGTCAGGGTTAATCAGGTCTGACCAGCTCCAAGTACTTTGCCCTTTTCATCTCAATGATCCATCTGGTCTTCCTAGGGAACAGTTAACTCTGGCAGGACCAACGCCTCGTGGCTTCGGACCTCATGACCATGTCTGCACCTACGTGGGGTCACTGCTCTGGGGTCAACATTTGAGCAGTCTCTCCTCTTGTAGCCTCCCCAGTCCTTGAGAAAGGGATGGACTGCCTTACTGGTTGTTGCTGCCTGCTCTAACAGAACTGTGTGCTGATGACATCTGTTATGACCCACAGCACCTGGTTGTGGTGCCAGTGATAGCATCCATCTCGCTGGGCTTCTGGCAAAACATATTCTCTAGGGATCCTGGACTGGCTAGGGAGGTACTGTAGAGCAACTGTCAAGTTCTTTGAACGTCAGTCGTCCATTGTTCTTGTCCATTGCTCGCTCCCATAGGCACCAATTACCTTTCTTGGATGTCCTACTAAAAAATACTTCATCTACCACGGCTTGGACCTCCTACTGAACAAGTTGATTACTAATTGTGTTCCTGGACCTTCTAATAGCCAGGTCTTAGGGTAACTAACAAGCCCTGCCTGTCCTGACGCCACTGCTCCCACCAGCACTCTAATGCAGCTGTGGTTTAGCCTGGTCGACTGCCTTGGTCACTTGTCCTCCACATCCCTCCTTTCCTCACTTCAATGCTTGCCAAGGAGGGTTTGGTGTCATTGGAGTCTAAGGTGAACTGCAGTTTGTCCTTGCTCACGTACAAAGTGATTCTGCTGAGGCTTAACAGGGATTGGCTCATCCTTCTAGTAGAGCACTTGTGGTGGTCAGCAGAACCTCATAGACCAGGAGTCACCAGAGGAGTTGAGGCCGAATGCCATGCTTCAAAATAATCTTTGCATCCCTGAATTTCACTGTAATCCCTATTCCTAACTTGCTGCTGGTAACCTAGATTCCTTCAATATCCCTCATGGTGCAGTCGAAGATTCCTAGGGAGTAAGGCGAGGCGAGGCGAGGCAAGTTTATTTATATAGCACCTTTCAACACAAGGCAATTCAAAGTGCTTTACAAAAATGAAACATATTAAAAAAATGGCATTTAAAAACAGTCATTAAAAAGCAAAGATAATTAGGAGGCGTGTGGCGCAGTGGATAGAGCGTTGGTGTTCGGATCAAGGGAGCACAGGTTCAAACCCCACTGCAGTCAGCATGTCGTTGTGTCCCTGAGACACTTCACCCCAAATTGCTCCTCTGGGGATTGTCCACAGTATTGAGTATGTAAGTCGCTTTGGATAAAAGCGTCTAACAAGCAACATGTCATGTAATTAAATAAACATCGAAAGAAAAAATACATGAATAAAAGTTACAGTGCAGTTTAAGATATGAATAGTTCAATTAAAAGCAGCGGCAAGAGTATCACAACTTGTCCCACTAGGGATCGGGGCTTGCCTGGTTTGAAGTCCATCCAGGCCCAGTTGATGAGTCGCTCCAGCTTTAGATGATCCATCTGCAGCTGGAACAGACATTGTTGTCTCCAACAGATCTTTCATTAATGCCGGGGGGGCTGGCGGACACCTGACTTAGGTGGGCTTCACACTCCGCCTCTGCTGATTTAAACAGCATGTTCATGTCCAAAGCAAACAAAACACTGAAGTGGTGCATCCAAGGATGATGTCCTCCACCACCAACAATCTGGAAGTCCCTGATCTTGCCTGGAACGGGGGGTGTTTTTCACTATCTTGTAGGATTGATTGATCCTGACTATTGGCGAGGTCCAGCCCCACAACTGGCAGGTCTCCTCTTCCTTATTAGCTACTAAAGGTCATAGTTTTACTGGTAGAAGTTTCAGTATTAGTGATAAGTATACCTACGGTCATATTTCCATTGATGTGATATTATGGCAAGGATCTTAAAAAAACTACATATTTGTTGTTATTTCATGTGGTATTCTTTATAACCCAATACATTATTTTAGTTCCGCAAACCACATTTCAGTGATGTTTTTGGGCCACAATGAATCATGCTCTGCTTCTCCCCCACATACTCCTACATTTACACATTTACAGACTCTACCAGAGAGAAGTGTTGTCTTCCATGTTGTCCCTGTGTGTGTGTGTGTGTGTGTGGTGTGTGTGTGTGTGTGTGTGTGTGTGTGTGTGTGTGTGTGTGTGTGTGTGTGTGTGTGTGTGTGTGTGTGTGTGTGTGTGTGTGTGTGTGTGTGTGTGTGTGTGTGTGTGTGTATGCGTGTTAAGTGTATCTTTAATAATGTAACAGCCCAGTGATGGGTTGACACTCTCTCTTCATCATCATTTATTTCCCTCCTCCTTCTCATTTCCAGGTGCCACAGAGCCCCTTCTGTGCGTTCTTTATATCTGCTGCAGCCGCACGATGTCTATCTCTCTCTGCTCCGTCCTATTTCTGTTTCCAGGCACAGCTCTCACCTGACAGGCTCCCATTTTTTCTTGGGTGGGTTGATATGTATCTCTCTGCGCCCTCTCCTATCTGCTGGAGAAGAGAGGCACCCGTCCTTCAGCTCCAGCTCATGTCTGTCATCAGACTGTGCTGCCGTTCACTGTGACCCAGAGCAGACAGCCTGGCACAGACACCGTGTTCATCCACGGACATGAAGGGGAAGGACCATGTGGGGCTTTTATTCCTCTCGATAGGTTTGGACCTATTCCTCCACTTTGAGCGGAGATTCTGTCTTTGTAAATACTAGTTTCATTTTGTAACATGGAACACTTATGATGAAGTGGTTAAAAGCAGAGCTCCTGGCATTCAATTCATTTGAAAAAGCTTAGGATAGTTCACCAGTGTAATCTTCTACATTTGTTCTTGAAGTGAAGCTCATTTATGTGCTATTAAGTGTACAAGTAATGCTTTTATACAGATGTTAGTTTGTTCATACTCAGAGCCAAATGAACGTCCACTTCTAGATTACGAAAGCATGCGTTGTCATCCCGCGAAGAATGAACATGACAGCTCCAGTACAGTCGCTTCATAGTGCACCTTTTTTCAGGTAGATTGATGAAAAATCTTTTTGTAATATGACTGACTGATCAAAGTTATGCAGAGCGCTCCAGTCCCAGCTGTGTGCGTCACTTTTTAGTGTCCCTTTTTCTGTTGTGTTTAAAGCTTCATGCAGCGCTTCTTTCATTTGCAGTTTTGTGTTTGCAGCATTGTGTTTATACAGCACGTCTTTTTAAACGCTGCGCATGTTTCGGGCAGGTTGGAGAAGATTTGCATGTGTTTTGGCACTTTTGTGTTTTTA